AAAGAGTCCATTGCTTAAGATGATGTCATAACTTGATAAGAGCCAATTTCTGGAAGAGGTAATGACGATGCACTAACCATCTCGATCCACAGACGTCAGGACTACATAATCCAGACCCCACTCTGCAATTGCCTTTGCAGTATTGTAGGGCTCATTGGCATCCAGTGGAGGTGGATTTCTTGCAGTCTTAACAGAACAAAATCTACAACCTCTTGTACATGTGTCACCCATCAACTAGAACAGAGATGTTACAATTTAAATCAAATAAACAGATGACTTACAGAATGTAATGTTAAGGGAATAAAACTGCAATGAATGTATAAACTTTGATTCTGTTTTTAAGAAATTTAAAACATTCAAAGCTAAACAATACAGTTAAGGAATACAAACATATATGGTAAAACTAAAGAAAAAGAAAGGCAAGGGATAAAACCAGAGATTTCCATCATGGAGTATTCAGAATCACTCCTTCATTCAAGAATTGACATTGCATAACTTAGATAAACTCTCTGGTTGGCTCTGTATTATTCCAGAAGGAGCTCTATCTCATAAGAATCCCCAGCTCCTCGTCTAGTCTCTTGCTGATATAGCTCAACAGTTTATCAGACATTTCCCAGACAAGTATGAACTTTCAGTTGCACATAATTTATATTTAACCCAATACTTCAATCTCCAAACTCCTCTGTATAAATAATATGGTAGATCGCATTGTTAATCCCATTTCTTACTCTATCATATTAAGATTATACATCTCACCCACTGCCATGTAACTTGCAGGACCCGCCTACTTGGGGAGGAAGTTATGTCTCTACTCCCACTCATGCTTGGCTTGAGTGGCTTATTTTGGCCAATAGAATGATAGCAGCCATGATGAAGCAGAAACCTCAAATGTGCATGGATGGCTTGCCCTCTTGTGCTCCTTCCATCCTCCATGATAAGAATATGCCTTGGAGAGCCACCGGTCCATGAATAAAGCTCTCTAGAGCAGACCTGAATCCAACCTACTTCCTGGAGTCCAGCTTAGCCCAGTCAAGAACAGATGAACACAGGCCAACTGAAAGTCCCATGAGGGAGAAAAATAAATGCTTATTATTTCAGGGGCAAAATGAATAACAAGTTAAGCCAACATGAAGAACATTTCCAAAAATTAACAGAAGAGATATGTCAAGGCAGCACATGATTAACCATCAGGGAGATGGAAGAATCAATAACAGACTTATTCAGAGAAGGGTGAGATCATAACAGGCTGGATTATTCTGTCAGGTTTTTTCCCACATTTCTCATAAACTCATATGTAACAAGAAATCTGATCAGAGATTCATAATGTACATTTGTAGGAGAAAGACACAAAACATTTCCTTTCAGTCTCTAGACTTTAGAATTTGAGGCTGGGCTTACCATGATTGTGGCAGTAGCAGTGGCATGTTCTCCGCCCCCCCAACACTCTCCAATATTGGGACATCGAGCTTCCTCACATACCTGTGGGTAAAAGGGAACTGAATACGGTCAGGTTGAAAATACTTACCAATTGAGCAAATTAGTCAACAGGCATGTTTACACTATCCATTCTTCACAGCATATTTATGAAGAAATTCACTATTCAAAAATGCTGTTAAAACTGTCGAAGTATATAGATATTAGGATTCCATTTTTAAATTAAAAACTATATGAAGGGGGCTTCCCTGGTGGTGCAGTGGTTAAGAATCCGCCTGCCAATGCGGGGGACACGGGTTCGAGCCCTGGTCCGGGAAGATCCCACATGCAGCAGAGCAACTAAGCCTGTGCGCCACAACCACTGAGCCCGGGCGCCTAGAGCCCCGAACCTCGCCACTGCAATGAGAAGCCCGTGCACCGCAACGAAGAGTAGCACCCGCTCGCCACAAGTAGAGAAAGCCCACACATATAAACGGAGACCCAATGCAGCCAAAAATAAATAAGTAAATTTAAAAAAAAAAAAAAAAAACCCCTATATGAGTGTATATATTTTACATGTGCAAATAAAAAGCCCTGCAAGGGTATATGTTGAACAGTTAAAGTGGTATAACAGTTAAACATTTGAGATTGCACATAGGATGCTTCACATTTAATATACCCTTTCCAACAAGCATGTACTTAATTTGTAATATAAAACACACAAAAACCCTCATTCCCGAAATTGCAGAAAAAAATTTTTTTTGTTTGTACTGTTAAATGAAAGGTTAAAAAATACAATTACTTTTTGTTTCTTTTGCAGGGAAAATAATCTTTAAATGTATTTCCATTACTGAGAGTAATTTATCACTAAACATCTTTATTTACTTTCCTTGCTATTTTTGATATGTATTTTATTAATTTTTAAGTTACATATATATGGAAAAATTACGGCTTCTGGTAAAGAGGGATATTTAACCCTCTGATAACTTACTGTATGAAGATTTAAATTCCGCAATGTATTTTTCAGTTTATTGTAATTTTTCCCCATGGGAATCTCTGTCTTTAGCCATGGAGGTAGTCTTAACCTGAGGAAAGCCAAATATAACTATACATTAACAAGTATGTTCCCAAATAATCACACAGGTTTGAAGTTACTCCGCTCTATTACAATTCCTAGTTAGGAATTTTCCCCCCATAATCCTGGATTAACTCTTTTAATTTCTGCCATAGGAGTAATAACAGAGAATGAAATTTAGATTTGCTCAAACCACTTTAGAAAACACCTATAACTGTGTCTAGCAGGGCACTGTGCTCATGTCTACTTTTGCAAAGGTACAGAGTAACACCATCCCAATAAAAAAATGAAGAAGCTTTTGAACATCTCATTCCCTAAAAAATAATACTGACAAAAAGTTCTATATTTGTTCAGATTAAGGAGAGACCCCCACAAGTGGACTTTCTGCTCTACATTCTAGATTTTGATAGTTATTAAGTGGAAAAAAATCTAAAATTTGGAGTGAAGATTACATTTCCTCAGGTTCCCTTTGACTTCCACCCACTTGTGATCTATAAGTTGCTAGGTAAAGTATCTCCCAATACAATTTGCTATCTGCACTAAATTCCCTTACAATTCTTTTAAACTAAGGCATGCTATCCATAGATCATATGTACATTGACTAGGTGAAGCAACAAGTTAGATCACCGACACCCAGTAACAATGAAAAACTTATTAAAGTGTAATACACTAGTAACAAGGTGATAATCTTTGCTCTCTGAAGAAATTTGTTGCTGGGTGGAAAATGGGAGATGGTGGTGTAGGATGGCTAAGTCCTAGGAAGGTTGAAGAAAAACTGTCAGAGGGCAGAGAGAAAAGAAATAGCTTCCAACAATCTCACCTATTCACCTATTCTATGTTTGTTATCACTTCTTTCTAATGATGTTTAGCTAAATTTAACAAGCTGATTAAAAATATACCCTAGGGCTTGGTTATATCTGAAAATGATGCACTATGAAGAAATGGGACATTAAAATTACCTCAAAATTTCAATTACCTTTCTCCTTTCTGGCGTTTTAAGTCTCCTTTATATTCGTCCCAGGTGCTCTTGTCTGCTAGATCACCAGATACAAAATCTTGAAGGTCTGGTCCATTCTGCAAAAATTTCTTCTTTTTATCTGGCAAGGAACTTACTTCTCTGACTGGACTGCATAAATATCTTCCAAATACCTAAACAAAGGGTTCATTATGACATTTATTTAGTGGGGTTTGGAATAACTTAGTTTTAACCTATTTTAATACCTAAAAGGGTAAAGCCCAGAGAACTGATTCAGAAATTATGTCAAACTATTTACAAGCTCTGTGTAGGAGCTGAGAATCTAAGATTAAGGAGAACCCAAGGGGAACAAACCAAACCTAAAGGAGAACGGGAGCTGACCATTTCCTGCTGGATTTAGAATAGATTTGGAAACCATTGGAACTGGCTAACATGCCACACTTTTCATGTAACCCATTTAGGTACTAAAAGTCTGTTTTTCAAGTTTAAATTGCAATAAGGGAGAAGACGCTACAGCTTTGAATTTTCTATTCCTGACTTGAGTCAAGGACGTTTAAATGAAATTTGAAGTAAATCTCTCTGCTTTGGACTTTGGATAAGCATATGTGTTAAAACGTAGAAGTGCTCAACTAGTTTCACAGAACTTGAAGAAGGGAAACCAAACCTAACGTTTTAATTTTCTAGGTTACATTCTGTGTTTAAAGAAGGAAGTCACTCAATATGTATTTGACCATAAGAAGCCATTGGCTTCTAGATCTGAACACACACGGACAAGACAGCCAAAACACTAAAAAATTCAAGTCAGTACTTATAAAGCAAAAGAACCTTCAAGAATTAAAAAAAAAAAATACAGTGCCTATTAATGCTGCACGATTGCTATTGTACTTGCCCAGGTCTCCCACTCGAGTCTAGAGCATAGATTTAGGTTCTAATTGCCCAAACTGGTGTCTAGTACACAAGAGCTCAACACAAAGTAGTAATCTGGAGTGCTCACCGCAGTGGTCCTATAACGCTCCAATAAATACAGAGTACAAATCACTGATACGCAGAAAAAAAGCTCTCAGCGCCAGCCAGAGAGACCTATAAACAAACCAGTACCAGAGACTTAACCTCGTTGGGGTGTCGGAAGAATTAAATGAGATACCACAAGAAAAATGTTTAGAACAGTACGTGGCTCGAAGTAAACACTCAGTAAGTGCTGGCATTATTGGGCGCTCTAAAGGGATGGGAGCCCCCTCCACCCCACGCCCGCACCCTGCTCGCCCCGCAGCTCACCCGGGGGCCCACGGTGCGGACCGCGCCCCCGCAGCGTAGAGACATCCCTCTCTTTTTTTTCTAGCAGGGCCGAGCGATCACTAATTCCCGGGAAAAAAAGATGGAAAAACCGTCACTCGACTTATGACCGACAAGCTGAGCCACACCTGACCCTGTGGAACCTGCGCTGCTCCGCGATTGGCTGCTTTAGCCTAGTAGCGTCGCGCGCTTATGACGCCATACGCAGTACTACTACGGCCTATAAGAACGTGATGACGAAAGACGCTCTCTCTTTGCCGCATCTACTGCGAGGTGAGGTTGGTTACCGTAATCGGTGGGCCTTGGGAATCTGAAGCCATCGGCTCAGGGAAAGCCAGCGGCGCCAGTCTGGCCCTCGGAAACCCTGTTTTGGTTGTCTGCCCACGCGGCGAACGCCATATGAATTTGGTGGCGATGGCATTCGAGCCCTGTGCTGGGCTTTTAGGCCTCCCGCTCCTCAGCCTTGCCGGGATGGCGCCGGCTTGATGGAAGTCCCAGGGTGGCGTTGAGCGGGAGTTGGCCCGTTGGGCTTATAACACCCGCAGAGGAGCTGCTCCTTCCAGGCCAGAGCGTAGTGGGGGCCGCTCTCCCTGCTGGTCCTCCCGTATCCTTCCCGGGATTTTTGCCTGCGGTCTCCGGTAGGAGTGGAGGTCCGTGCATCGTAGTTTGGTCGAAAACAGGTCCTCTGCGGCCTTCTTACCCCAAGTGTTTGTGTTTCAGAATGAAGACCATTCTCAGCAATCAGACTGTCGACATTCCAGAAAATGGTACGAGACTTGGTGCTTGCATTTTTCTTACATCTTTACTACACGCTCTATACCTTGTTCCGAGACCTCACGAATACGTTCTTTCCTAGTCGACATTACTCTGAAGGGACGCACAGTTATTGTGAAGGGCCCCAGAGGCACCCTGCGGAGGGACTTTAATCACATAAATGTAGAACTCAGTCTCCTTGGGAAGAAAAAGAAGAGGGTGAGTTTTTGGTTTTTGTCACTTCAGTTGCTTGTTTGGAAGGTTGTGATTTAAGAGCATCAAATTGGGTTGCTTTTAAAATTATGGAATTGAGGTTCAGTGTTTTAACTTAAAATTTGGTGTCCAGAAGCGTAACTAGTTTCGGTGTTGTTGCCTCAGTGAAATTGGAAAATGAGATTCTGAACAGAGGGGGTTATAAAAGATCAATACTAGTAGTTGTCATTCGTATCAAGTATTATTGCTGTTACAAGTTAAGTTTAGTTTTCTTCTGATTGTTTTGTAAGAATCTTAGGAATGCAGCAGTAGATCTTTTAAACCTGGTATTTTAGTTTTCCAGGAGTGAAGTTTGATGCAGCTTCTACAAAACTTGTGTTCTGGGTTTTCATTCCTTTGTGAAGTAGTAGTGTTACCTGTAATGTACAGTAACAAAAATGTTAATTGAGGGCTTTGTGGTTTAATTTTTCCTTGAAAATCGTGTTTTAATTTGGGCAAATACTAGAATCTAGAGTACTTACTGTGAATAAATGGACTTTTTTCCAAGCCTACTTACTACCGGAAAGAATTTTCTAAAGTTTTTGTTCTGTTACAGCTCCGGGTTGACAAATGGTGGGGGAATAGGAAGGAACTGGCCACTGTTCGCACTATCTGTAGTCATGTACAGAACATGATCAAGGGTGTTACACTGGTAAGCAGGTTAACCAGACTACTTTGTTTTGGAAGGGGAGGTTTCTCAGCTGTGATTTATGTATGCAACATAAATGTCTCCTGCAGAGAATAGATTATGCATGTAACTTAGTGAGTTATGTGTACTTATTAAGTATATGGGAAAAAGTGATCTTGGCAAATGTGTTTAATAGGCATTCCTGGGTCTTAGTATTAAGTGATGTGAGTAAAGACTGAGTGATAAATAAGAGTAAAGACCAGATGGTCTTAATAGTATGCTGATGGTGTTTTTTCCACACAAAACAGGACTCATCTTCGGGGTGCATTTTTTTTATATATATAAAAAAATGTAACATACAGGGTAGGCTTTGGTTTCTTGTTTTATCCCTGTCACCACCAGGACCTCTTGTAGGGATAGAAAAAGGTGGACCTAATTTCTGAGCTCCTTGTCCATTTCCTTAAAAACATACCAGGTTAGGTTTCTTGAGGGCAGGGGGCGTGTCTTGGTGTCATCAGTTCTTGGAATCTGGCGTACCTTAGTAACTCAGTATGTTAGCTTGATGTCCAAGATGAAGGGCTTTGGGGTTCTCCTTCAATGGGAAACTAGCATTGTTTACTGTGGGCATAGCAGGTGGTAAAATACATGCTTCCTTAAGGAGCTTCACAGTCCAGTGAGGAGACACAGAAATACATGTTGTTGTGTAAAATTGTTGTAAGGCTTGGTATAGGTGATACATTTTACAAAACCTTGACAATGAGTGCTGCGTGAGAACTGTTTCAGTTTCTTTTGTCAGGAAGGAGGAAATTTTCCTCTAAAGTCTCCATTGATAATTTCTAGAGATTTGGTCATTCTTTTCTAGGTGCAGGGAGGGAGACAGCCTTGACAAATATGTAAATGTTCCCTATAAAAGGGCAACCCCTACTTGGTTTTCAGAGAAAAACTGGAAATCCTATCTTTCAAATTTCTCAGCATTGCTAATAGTTTGTTTATTTTGTTTATTTAACCTAGGGCTTCCGTTACAAGATGAGGTCTGTGTATGCTCACTTCCCCATCAACGTTGTTATTCAGGAGAATGGTTCTCTTGTTGAAATCCGAAATTTTTTGGGTGAAAAATACATCCGCAGGGTTCGGATGAGGCCAGGTATGGTTTAGAAATTTTCTTTCTACTTGTGAAGGCTGGTATTTTGGGTTAGCTATAAATAAGACCAGATTTATTTCAGAATTATCCAGTTTGATTATGGCTTTGTATCATATTTATACCAGTTGTGGTTCCTGAAGGCTTACATTTGGGGTAGTTTGCAGGCCATGGGAGCTGTGATTGGTTTTGCAAACTGAAATCCAAAAAAAGACCCATTTGAAAAGAGGTTAATACCTAGATTTCCTAGTTTCAGGTCTCAGCTCTCACTGTCAACCTTGGGCAGATTACCTCTATGTAGCTCATTTTACTCATCTGTAAAATTGGGAACATCTCATGATTAAATGACTTGAAATTGAAATGCGTTTTAAAAATAGTTCTTGTCTGATGCATAGTTAACACTGAAGCATTAGAAAGTTTTAAAACTTAGTGCTCTTGATGCTTTTTGATTCCGTTGAATTGTGGGGGTGGGAAGAAGGGATTGTACCAATTAATGGCTCTACAGAAATATTACATGATAGTTGCTATGGTCAGCAGTACTTAATGAGAACCCTTAGGTGAAAAATGAGCTTTGAGGGATACCAAATATACAGTAGAAGTAAGACTGGATACAAATTTTGTACAGCTAAATCCTACTAGCTGGATACCTTTTTCTCATACTCCTTAATTGAATCATAGTCTGTAATCAGTCTGGGACAGATTCATTCAAGCAGGAATACAAGATTGGCCCAGATAATACAGATTCTGTTACAAAACAGTTCTTTTGGTGTGTGGAATTTTAAATGGAATAAATTGCTACTTAATTTAAATATTTTAAATAATGCTACAAATCTTATCTTATGTTGACACTATGCATATGCTCTCTTACCTTTTTAGGTGTTGCTTGTTCAGTATCTCAAGCCCAGAAAGATGAGTTGATTCTTGAAGGAAATGACATTGAACTTGTGTCAAATTCAGGTTTGTATGTTTACTGTGCCTGATTACGCCCATAAAATCTTACCTAAATCTTGTAGTTGAATACATGATATATGTTCTTTTAGTGAGCTTTTCTCTTTTATTTCATCTGTTTATTTTACTTACAGTGTTCCGTGGGGAGTTTGTAAAGACACTGGTCAGTCAGTTAAAAACAGACCTGGGAACTCTGTGTACAGAAAAACAATTAAACATGTGAAGGCACAAAAGAAAAGACTCTTAAGTACATTGGATATTAATAGGGACAAAAGGACTCAAGTTTAATTTGTTATACCTCTAATAGAGCAATCAAACATAAGTAACTAAATTTAAAAAATTACGGGGAAGGAGAGAAAAATGAGATAGACAAAAAGATTGGTGAGTTTTTTTAAATTGTGGGACTCTAATAAACTATCCCAAAGATACTTGGGTTTTGAGTATATAGCATATAATAAAATACTTGCTTATGATTTGGGTTTGGCTGATAAAATAATTGCCTTTTTCACTCTTACAGCTGCTTTGATTCAGCAAGCCACAACAGTAAAAAACAAGGATATCAGAAAATTTTTGGATGGTATCTATGTTTCTGAAAAAGGAACAGTTCAGCAGGCTGATGAATAAGATCTGAGGTAGGTTCTTGTAATGTCCATATAAATTTTATTAACTGCTTTAGTTGGGGGTCTTAATTGATTAAGAGACTTAAACTGGAGGTGTAGCAAAGGTAGAAAGTGGAGACCTGCATTCTGGAACACAGTAAATTTGGCAGAATAAGAGATAGAATTGACACATTTTTACTATGAACCAGTAAATCATAATTTTAAAGTATGTTTTAGATGATTCAGAGTAGAACTTTTCTGGGCAAGGATATTGATGGAGATTTACTGACATTTTCATTTCTTTTTACAGTGATCCAGTTACAGAAACCGCAAGAGGCCAGGCTTATATGTGATATTTTAAAAATGAATAAAAGCTCTTTTGACTTGAGACGTTTTCTTAAATTGATTACCCTTTCCAACTATTTGGCCAGTAAGCAGCTAAGTAAATTCTGGTGTGCTAAGAACAACAACAGAAGGAATAGGAGGGGTTTTTTTAGTAAGACTTAATGGGAGAAGTGGTTTGAAGGAATAGCAAGGGTATTTCAGGCAAGAGGAATATGGGTATCAGTGACTGGCAACAGTGACTGTGGTTGTTCATTATTGGATGAAGAACTTTGGGAGATGTCCTGAAGGTATGTGTAATTTTGCAGAGGCACGAATTTGAATATTTGTGAGGGCAAGTGCCTGAGTCGCAGTAACCTTGTGTGAAAAAGCAGCTGAGAAGTAATACAGTCTTAGTAAGAATTAGAAGATGGAGTTAATTTATATTCATGATAAACATGGTTGCTGTGGCCCAAGGTTCTCTGTTTTAGCGTAATTTCAGCCATTTACTCCTATGTCCTAGTCCTTGATATCTTAAAAAAACTTAACAACCCTTCCATAGTCTCTTCATTCCATGTGTCACGCTTTAGATGCACTACCGTACTAGACTATCTTAATACGATTGCCTCTAAATCTCTTCCTTGATAGAAACTCCAACTTTCTGATTTCTCAGGCAAAACTTAACATTCAAGTTTGATTTCTCTAACATCCTGTGTGTCTAGTCTGTTAGAAAAATCTGTGGGCTGTGCCTTCAAAGTAAGGTATGTTCAGGGCCTAAGCAAGGAAAAATAAAACCCATTTGGAGCATAAGGATATTAAAAGATCTTCATTTAGATAAGTGAAATTAATTTTTATATTGAGTTAATAATCTTTGGTTTGATAACAATGGTTAAGTATGAAATGGATGAAATTGTAAATGCAAGTTTTGCTTTGAAATATTTTAGATGAGGTTTGGGGTAGGCATTGGATGGGGTTCTAGGTCTAGGGTTTCAATACATTGATATTTGTTGAAGCTGAATGATGGGGATTCATTATACTATTCCTATTTGCATAAAGTTTTGAAATTTTTCACAATTAGAAGATGAAACCAAAACCCTTTAAACTGATCCACCCTTGCTCCTCCCTCCCCCATCTGTTCTCAGTAGTAGCCAGAATGCATTTTTCAAACTCCCTCATAACCTTTCTGACCACACTGACTGAGCTGACCTTCCTGCTCCTCAGTACCACTGCCTTAAAGCCTTCAAGTTGTCTTTCCCTTTGGAGTGACAGGTTATCTTGAAGTCTATAGTCCAGTGTTTTCAGTGAAGCCTACGTTGACCTTCCTATTAATTGTGCTCATTCCTCATGCCCATCCTATCATACCCTTACCCTGCTAAACTTGTTTTTGTCCATTGTATTTATAATGTAATATTAATAGTTTACTTTGTTATGTATTGATTGTATGCTTTTTTCCTGCTAGAGTCTGACCTTCATGAGGTGTTGTGGTCTTTTCTATCCTTTCTACACTGGGATATTCCAAGTAAAGAACCTGGAAAAATGTCTGGCATTTAGCTGTTTGCTGAGTGAATGGTTCCCAGATTGCCAGGGATATTCAAGTTATGCAGATTCAGTAATAGTAATGGGACTAGAAAGATGTTTTGGAAAGTGTTGACAGAATTTGAGGGTTGAGGAAGTAATTTCCAAGTGACAATATTGCAGAGGGATAGAGAGGTGTTACTGTTGAAGAGTGTCAGCATATAGGCGGTAGTAGCAGCTGTGGGAGTAAGTGTGATGCTCTCCAAGAGTGAAGTGGGTGGTTTGATACCTTCACAGCATTACTATTGTAGTCTGGTTGTAGCTAAGGAGTTATTTCCATTCAGTAATTTGGGTGTGGTAAATGAAAGTCTAGTTCTCCCCAGGGAAGACCTCCATGTTTTCTGTGTTTACTATGGATAAGCATATGTGTGTTTTTTCAGTTTTGAGGTGTAGGAGTCCACGTTGTATAATCAGAAAACATACTCAGGAGTAAGTTACCCAGTTGGCACACAGTTTGGGAGGATGGGGGAGGCAGTGTTGGGGCACAACCCAGTTACAACACCAAACCCATTCACATTCCACAGTTCTTAAAACTGACCAGATTGTTAGTTGAATATAAATAATCAGCATAAACCGGTTTATTTGGAATAAATTACATCGAGAATTAAACACCTAGTCACAATGTACTGACCTCATTTTCCAGAGGCTATTTAAACACCATAGTTGTGATATTTCCATATGTATCAGATTTTTTAGTGAAAGGTCACATTGAATACAACAGTAATGTAACAATATACAAAGTAACACAAGCTACATTTTAAAATGATTTTCTTCCAAGTCTCAGAAAAGCTTAAATTTAAAGATCTTACCCTGTCAAAAGCTATCAACAGTTCCTAATTGACCCTTTATGATTTTAAAATGAGTTTAAGAAAAACCTGAATAGTAAATATAATTGATCATGAGCCAGATTTAAATGTTTACCTAGGGACTTGGTACGACGATGGCTTAAACCAGTGGTTAAGACTGCACTTCCACTTCAGGGGGCGGTGGGTTTGATCCCTGGTCGGGGAACTAATTCCCATATGGTGTGGCCAAAAAAAAAAAGTTCAGAAAGAAAAAAAAAAAGTAAAATAGTTCCCAAGTGGCCAAAAAAAAAGGGAAGAAGGTAAGCATTGGGTTAGGGACTTTACTATTTGCAAGAATTTATGGCAAGGCAACAAGTTTAAAAAAGGGGGTCATAAGTCAAGCTTAAGCACTAAATGTAAAGACATAAAATAATGCTGTTTAGTGGAGTTACAAACAATACAAGATACTTTAGTCAAAACACAAAGTAGAGACCATAAAAGCAAAATCTTAATTCTAAAGCTTTGTTATTCCTATGACAATATGCATTTCTTTTTCAAAACCTTGGACGTTAGAGGTTAAAGGGTTGATGAGTTGCTCAACTGATAATCCATAAAATTAAAATAATTGACTAGTTATTGTAATTGTGTATAGCCTCAAGCCCAATAACTAAGTGGTTCTCAAAAAGAAAATACAAAAAATTCCTTGCATAACCTAAAATCTGCTAAGTTTGAAGGAGGGGTGCAGTTGGAACAAGGAGAATAGAAGAACACATCTGCCAAATTTTACTATTTGAAATTGGCCAGCCAGAGATAGCAAATTGATGTCTCATCACTTTTGCATTTGTTTGAATTGACCAATTGTTATTTGTATCTTTGAAAATGCTGTTATCAATTAGTATCTCAGTTATGTAGGAAATAGCTTTCCTTTGACTTTTTTTAAAGATTTACTTATTTTGGGCTGCGTTTGGTCTTCGTTTTTTTTTAAATGAGTGTGTGCTCCTTTTTTAAAAATTTATTTTTTGGCTGCATTGGGTCTTTGTTACGCGCTGGCTTTCTCTACTTGCGGCGGGGCCTACTCTGTTGTGGTGCTCGGGCTTCTCGTTGCAGTGGCTTCTCTTGTTGCGGAGCACAGGCTCTAGGCACGCGGGCTTTAGAAGGTAGGCTCAGTAATTGTGGCACACGAGCTTAGTTGCTCCGCAGCATGTGGGATCTTACCAGACCAGGGCTTGAGCCTGTGTCCCATGCATTGGCAGGTGGATTCTTCACCACTGCTCCACCAGGGAGGGTCCCTCCTTTGACTCTTAAAGTCAAAATTCAGGAGAGTAGACAATGGTTAGTTATTTAAATACTGACTCACTTAAAGAATGTGTATAAATGGGTTTAGATTCAGGTTTTCTTCCAACATTGAGAATACAGTGAATGAATATTAAGCATAGAGTTCAAGAAAGTCAAACTGCAAGTTCAGGTTTAAGAATTTGCTTAATCCTAGTTTCAAAAGTTGCAATGTAAGAATAGTTTCCACTTATGCAGACCACCAACGTTCTGAATTGTGTCCAAAGAGACACAGTTGAGAGGTCCAGATATGGCTGCAGTCTACAGGTCTCTGTGCATGTGTCAGAACAGTGAAGCACTTCAGGGGAGAGAGCAAGTCTTATGGGATAAATGGTCCTTTGGTAACTTGATAATTAAAAACTTTTCGTCTTTTTAGAATGTTTTAATTTTCCTAAGTATGATACATCTTGTCACCTCAGAAAATTCAAGTGAAGAATAATGTCAATTTGTCTAAAGAAGTTGCTGTACGTGTACGGTGAGGTTGAGTGACTTCCCTGTCATCACAGGCAGTTGGGTCTAGCTGGGTTTTTTTTGCGCGGTACGCGGGCCTCTCACTGTTGTGGCCTCCCCCGTTGCGGAGCACAGGCTCCAGACGCGCAGGCTCAGCAGCCATGGCTCACGGGCCCAGCTGCTCCGTGGCATGTGGGATCTTCCCGGACCGGGGCACGAACCCGTGTCCCCTGCATCGGCAGGTGGACTCTCAACCACTGCGCCACAGGGGAGCTCTCTTTTTAATCTTAGTCATCTGATCTTTAACATAAGATGAGTTTTGGAAATTAAATGTTATTTTTTGAAAATCATCTGGAAAAAGAGACCTCACAAAATTAGTTGTTTTGTGAGTGCTTAATTTTTATTGAGAAAAACTAAGGGATTGATGTGCTACAGTCTATATTGTAACTGGCTATACACAAGCACTACTTACCCTATGCTTTCTTTCCATTTGAGAAACACCCTGACCAAAGAGGAAAGCACCTTGTTGGAAGTGACAATTTATCACTGACTATCCTGTGTTAAGAGTTAAATCTCTGCTATGGAGTTAACAAAGTTGCACTTTTTTCAAAACAATTTCTTTTATCATAAGTAGCTATTGGTATTCCTACAAAAAAACTGTAGAATAATGATAGGAAACAGCTCATCAAACTCCATGAAACAATGTATCAGATATTCCTCATACCTTACCTTCTAGGGAAGCCTTTACCTTAGATCCAAGAACTGAATTCACTGATGTTAACACATAAGGGAAAATTTGAACCACACAGCGGAGACATCTATTGTCATTACCTTGGCTATCACTAATATCTCAAAACTTGTTTTTCTACAGTATAGGTGTATCTTCTGTAAGTTACTAGTGTATGGAACTGGAGTGAATTTTTAA